CACTATGGGTCATCTATCTTCTGATTCATCGAAATGTTTACGTTGTGCATAAATGAAACGTTTAGTGCTGCTATGTCTTTGGAACAGCTATGTGCAATCCCAGGTTTTCAATTTCAATTTCGATTTAATACTGCCTCTCATCTGATCGAATTACAGCAAACGTTAACTCGCAAAGCTTTCCAGAAACAATTTATTCAACATAAACGGTCAGTTATAGTTTCAGTTTTTCAAGCTAACGTCAGAAGAAATATCCCAAAATTTTGCCACCTAAATGTTTTCTTCTCGCCTCCTCGTGGTCCATGATGCCACTTGATGTTGTGAACACGAGGAACCTGTAAATCAAAAAAAAATCAGTAACATTCCTAAAGTATTCCCTGAACTAGCTTACCCGAACTGTCGCGAAGGAAGCAATGTGGCTGTCCATTTTTCGATATCCCGGATTCCAACATCGAATCGCGGACTAATTACACCACACTAAACAAGTCATTTTCGTCTACATCATAATTACGGAGGAGTTAAACAGCAAAGAAAAATTTCACTGCTAATCAGCTTCAAATGAACAATTATGCGAAAGAATGTGCGCAAAATAAAAGCGAATTAAAATACTGAACATGAAAACTTTCCTGACACCCAATGTTATGTTTTATCTCTCCTTCTGCCTATCCATGCATTCCAAAGTTGTTTTCACCGTTATGTACCAACGAAGCTTTATGGGTTCTGCAAACCACTGTTCTCTCGTCTCTCCGATGCCTCACTCCCACTGTCAGTCCATCTTTTCTTCGATGTTGTTTCACTCAAATCATTCCATATTCAGCGTCAGAAACACTGCAGGCAACTTGCTTTGTAAGGATCATGTGACCACTAATGGAAACGACCGAAAGGGCCATATTTATTTGATCCAACCTGTCAAAACACAGTATTCAATACGCTCTTCATTCATTACCATTTTTCAATACAGTTTCTATTGGCTGTGAAAACATGATGAAGCGAGTTTTATAACACGTGCAAATGGTAACTAACCTTTCATCTCTAAAAACATCCGAACCATAGAACAAAAAATTATCGATCGTCATACTTTATACAAATACACCATGCTGAATGCATATACTGTGACAGCAAAAATTACATTTGATTTTACAAGCAAAAATATACCTTATTAATTCTTCCGTTTAAATTCACTACGATTTTGCCGGCCCTATGGTCATCAACGATTTCAAACTCGCCAATGTAGCCTAAATATAAGAAAGTTATCAAATAATAAATTCAAATCATTTTTCCCTCCGCATAGAAGTTGTGCAATACCTACTTTAAATCCAAAAATTACATCACACTTTACGAAAGCATGCAAGAACCTTATAACGGTTATAATGGTACTGAAGTATTAACGAAGACATAATGCTTCAGCTTGTCAAAATGATATATTTATGCTAGTTTATTAATGGGGAATAATAACTGAAACGTTTCAGCGCCAAAAAGTATAAAATTTTCAAAGTTCAGTAGACAAATCAAAATCTGATGTTTCAACTCAAAAAGATATTTAGAAAGCAAAGAGCAAATAGATATTTAAAATAATTTCAAAACCATAAGCGTAAAATGTATGAATGGGCAACAAGAAACTAAAGCAAAGTAGCGGCTGGCTGCACTTTAAGCTATCCCGAATTGAGATCGATTGATTTTGTGAATAAATTAATAAATTTCAAGATTGTTAAAAAAAACTCTGACCGAAATGAGGATATGATATGCTACAGACAAAATCAATCATCAGAATGGGTAAAGTAAAATATAACTTGGGCAACTGTGACATGCAAACGAGTATTGGAGAGAATTCATTGCATCAATGCCAAAGGACTATTCAATATGCTACAGCTGCATGGCAATAACGTCCGGATTTTATGACCGGAAGAAGAACTGGAAGCAAGAGATAACCGCAATAAATAAGGCACAGCGTCGGTCACTTAGATGCCGTTGACACAGTGACAAACACGCTCATTTTTAATTACAGAAGAAAGACAGACAAAACACTAACCTAACAAAATCATGAAAATTTCTTCTGATCAGACTTGGAGAAACAGGAACTCAAACAGAGGAAAAGCAAATAAAATAGGAAAAGAAGAAAGAAAAAAAGGAAAGAAGGAACTAGATGATTAAACAGAAAAGAGAAGTCAAAGAAGAGTGAGAAAAAGAGGAAAGCGCTGGGCTCAATCATTTTAAAGAAAGTAACGGAGAACAGTTTTGAGAAAAATCACAAGACCCTTTCAGATTACAATCAATAAGTTTTCAATAGTTAAGAGGCACTTGAAACGTCAACACATACAGATATAAGAGAGAAAATGATTAACTCATTAAAGAACGTACCGTGCTTCATCATGACAGTCAAGAACCGCACGATGACTTTAGAACAGGGGCGTATGAGCACTTGACGTTTCCCTCGTTTTTCTGCATTGCTGATTGACCTTAAAGCATCTGCCAGTACGTCCATACGCACCATATTGAATATTTTGTGTGTCTACACACCTAAAGAGCATAATACGTCATAAAAGATTCAAACTGGATAGCCATTGATGACTTTTACGTAGCGCACAGGATATTGTTGAGGTTAAGGATTAATCATAAACACCCGAATTTACAGAAGCTTTTCTCTCTGCTCTGAAATAAAAAAAATTCGTTTTAACTTCATAAGAAAATTTGGAACGATTTAATGAGCAGCTGAGATTAAAGACTCAAATTTGAAGTTGCGAAAATTACGTAGTTAAAGTCTCGGGTTATTTGGTTTATATACGAGGGCCTGCTGCCCACCATACCATCGTGCCTTGAAGATACAACAGAGTGCGTAGCGAAACGCCTTGGCAACGGCTTGTTCACATCCGTGTTGTGTGATGTCCTAAACCATGAATCGAAAAGCCAACCACAATTTTTACAGAAGTTCAGTATGTCACTAGTTCTATAGCTGAGTAGAACAGTGGTGCAGCAGTTCCATGGCTGAGTAGATCCACAGCGCTGAAAAGCTCAGTAATTCAATAGTCGAGCAGTTCAGTAGATTCTATTTGAAAAGCTGGGCAATTCAGTACTTGAGAAGTTGAATAGTCGAGTAGTGTAGTAGTTCAGTATGAATTTCAGCCATTCACGCTGCATTATATACTTAATACGCGACAATGCATATAGCAAATGAGTAAATTATGCGGTATAAATTTTTAAAAACAATCTTCCAACATATCTATGACGTAACAGCGCAAATCTTGAGTTAGTCATATCCACATTATCAGCTTATAGTACTTAATAAATCGATACTTAAAATGAATGATTAACTAGAGTACGAATTATCAGGCTAACTGCTAGCCGGCTATTGTTTCATTAGCTTAGTTCAGGTAACTAAGTATATGACCTATGTTATTTATAATATATGGACCCCGAAGATGAATTCTGTATGAACCGAGACGTTTGGCAAATAATATATGTTAAGACATATTGCGGTAGAACATCGCCCTTTGCTTCAGCAAATAAAATTATGCGAGCCCCGTCTAGGTAGAACAGGTGCTAAAATACCACGCCACCGAGGCCTGCTTAATGTGTCTTTCCTAAGAGATCAAATCTGCCATAACGAATAGTAGTTTAGAATGGAGGTCATGCACACTGACTGAATGCTGCTTATCGAAAATTATGTTAGACGATTTAAACTGTTGAACATTTATATACGATCTTAGTGATTATGTTTTAACAGATAAGAAAGTAGTTAGTACAAGTAAAAAGAATGAGAATTTATAAAGGCTTTTTAACCGACAAAATATGTCGTTGATGGAAGGATAAAGGTAGTTTATGAACATACCATAATTCGTAGAAAGAGTGGCATCATACTAAAGAGAATCGTAACTAATATAATCAAAAATATTCGTCAAGAAAATAAACCGTCAGACTGCATCGCCCACAGATATAGTCTCATCTTTTCAGGATACGTACTCAATTCAGTTAAATTTTGCATCCAAGGTTTCAGCTATGTTATTCCACAACAAAGTTCAAACGCTTGCTCTATACTCAGGAAAACATCAGAACAAGTTTTGCTTCAGCATTTTTAAAATGATGACAGCAATACAGTGCAACCGCTGCACAGCTGAAAACTGAACGAATTCATTCAACTGATCTGGCGTCACCTAACTTTATTTTGTAGAATGTTCCCGTCACTAAGCAAAAATATAGTGAGGAGTTGAACCTTGTTTAATGCTATGCGTTAAAAATATATTGACAGATTCGGATGCCAAAGCCCTTGAGAAGTAATCGAATTAGACATAGCCGAAGATTTTTCACTACTAACATATTTTTAAAACATCATGCTGCCTATCCTCTGAACTCAATTCGAAAGAGATATGCTAAAGTGTCTTCTCTTCCACCACATCTACCTGCTAACCTCCGTACAAACGTTGCTTCAATGTTCAGATGCTCAGTTGTACACCGCAGAATAACCAGAATGTAAACTCCGGCGCTGCAGTGGATTTTTCAGAAGCAATTCCAAAGTCAAAATAACTAAGCTGCTTTTTGTTGGTTTCTAGCAGCCACTCGGATGTGTTAGCAGCAAATATACAAAGCAGTTGTTTGAGACTCTCGACAAATTTACGTTCTTTGCATATGCGTCGATGCATAAAGTTATTCAACGTCAACGAGAATCATGCATTAAGAGATGAAACCAGTCTAAACATTTATAGCGATACTCCCAATCTTCACTACTTGATCATGTACCCGACGATAAATCAAATATCTGACGAACTTAAACGAGACTTATGAACAACATTAGAGATCGATTTATCACACGATAGACGGCGTTATGTAAAACAAAACCGCCTATGTGCTGCTTTTTTCACATTATTACTAAAACACCAAGAAAATATTCCGTCTTCACATCCAAACAAACTAAATCAGGTTTAACAACATAATCTACGTAGTACGTTTAAATGACAAGAAACGCAATTTCAAGCTCTCTTCCAAATCTGGACTAATGCAACGTCTGTTAGACTGGCAGGAAGACTTACGAAGCAGTCCAGGCATGTAACTGAAACATCTAGGATCTACAAGGTTAGCATTACCATAAACCTGCAAAACAGAGGTGGTCACAGACGATTTTTGTTACAGAAAACTTCATGCAAAGTGTCAAGATTTTCTTTAAGGAGTGAATGAAGCGAATAAACTGTAATAAGTAACTGGAATGAACTAGAAAAAGCAAACATGTTCTGCTTACGCAAACGCTGGAATGTAATGATCTCAACAAACCTTGCAACACAGAGAAACGTAGGGTTAAACAATAAAAAAACAAAGAAAAAATGAATGCCGACGCTGAGCAAGGACGAATTTTAAAAATGGATCAGGCAGACTATTAAGCAGAAACAGCAGATCCAAAAACAACGAAACGATAACCAGCTATCAAACGCAAATTTATATGACAGAACACAAAAGCCCATTGCTAAAAAATTTGTCGTAATATTTTAAAGTCTTTACAGAAACTTTGACAGCCATTCTTTTATAATATAGAGTTGCAAATATACCAATCATGGCAGTTTTATACATACCTTTCCTTTGTGCGACAACTGCTTTCCAAATCACTACTGCTGTACTACAGTGTAAACACAGAACGTGATTTGCACGTTTTATTACATTCATTTAATATCTAGATAAATTTCTGCTTCACCCATCATTATATAAATGCATCGGTCTATTCCAGCCAATAGATATTAGCACTCATTCATTGATAAGGAAACATCATTTCAGTGTTCCAAAAGCTCACCAACACATAAACAATTCTGGAACTAATCCAACTTTCAAAACATTGTTTAGTACTGTTCTAAGATCGATCTTCATGGCTTTTGTCAGTTCCATAAAGGCAAGTCACATTTATCGCTAGTGTAAGTACGAACTATTCACCTTCCACCAAGGTTAAAAAAATGGATGACATAAGGAAACTGATACAGTGTATTGAAGCCACACGTACAACAGGAGCATTCATCACTTGTTGAACTCAACCAGGCTTCTGAAAGTGGTCGGATCCGCAAAAGGTCCAGATTAAATGAGGCATAATTGAGCGCTTGAGAGTTTGAGTTATGCTCTTCTGTATCAACAAACATGAGAAACTACAAAACGACCATTGCAACCTTTCAGAACATCTGTCAGCAAATGTATACTCTTTGAGCAACGTCTCCAGTTACAAACTCGCTACTATACTTTTGCAACCTTTAATCAATACTAATATCGCTCAAAATTTCACCCGAAATAGCCCATGACCTTGGCACCATAATCGAGTTCGCCATTTAAAATAAAGGGAGGACAAATGTGTCAGATTCGACCCATCCCACAAATGACCAAACTAAACTGTTTAAATAGGAATGAAAATACCTATTTAAATAAACTGATATTTTATAACTGCATGAAAAATAGGCATTTGGTCTCGTTGAATACTCCTTTGGAAGAATATTATGATTAAAGAAAAAGGAATTTCTTACTGTATGACATTGTAGGTAGGTCGTTCATCTCCATAACTGATGAGCAGGTACAACCATTCATTTCCACAGAAGGAAAGTTGTAGATGGTGCACTCGTTCGAAGGCGGAGAAGTTGCTTCGTTTTACTATCACATGAGAATCTCTGTGATTATGTAAAGGTAAATACATAATTGTTATGACGGCATATAGTCAGATAGCAGCCCTTTCTTAAATCATTTCACGCTGTTGCTTTCCTGTCGTGGAGGTTGTTCCTGTTCAGGTATTTAAATCTGACTTGTGCTTGATAGCTGTTGAAAAAACTTATTTACGATTTATATGCTAAAGAATTATATGTGATTTACATTTACCCTGAACGTACATTGATTTCGATCATTTTGGAAGTCGCAGTTGGTCGTCTAGGATGAAGCATATTTTTCGATGGTTCGTTGTACTGCGGCTTTTTTTGCGCTTAATAATTATGTGATTTTTCTTGTTTCTGTTGATGTTTTCTTACGTTCTTCCGGTGTGTTTTCTCTTAGATTTTCACTTAAGCTAAGAGGGTTTCCTCACTGTTCTCATCTGAAGGTAAACTTTGTCCCGTTTCATTCTGTTATCCATAATTTCTCATCTGAAGTGTGCATGGTTCTGCTTCAGCGTTCCGATGCCTCAACCCTTGCATAATCAGCGCCTAAGTAAGTAGTGGAAATGCTTTCTGTGTGTAAAGTAGTTTAATAAAACAATATTTGATGTGGGAACGAAGGTCTTTTGTCAGTGAGGAATCTGCCATTCGCCAAGAGTTAACAGTTCCTAATGTCAAAATTTGATAAGTGGGGATAAGCAGACTTCACTGATTTTAATCAGCCTGCAGGTTTGCGAAAGTGCTAAAGATGATTACGACAAACAGAATATTTTTGGCATTCTCCAACGTTGAACAGCGATGCTAAGGTTTGACTTACGTTCACTCGCTTCATTACCAGTGCCGGTATTAATATCGAGTTTAAATCAAGCAGAAGTCAGGTTCACATTGACTAATGTGGTGGTATTAGTAACGAAGGCGTCGATTGTTCGGTATAACGTTGCTATCATTGTTTCGCGTTTTGGTATCCTAGCCATTTATCATGAATATGTTCTTCTGAACATTTATGGACTTAGGATGAAAAGATCTCTCAAGAGACGTCAACCATGTTAATTTTGAAGAACATTGTTGAATGCATGTAATCTGCTTTTCTACGTGATCCTCTAAGACGAATTTCATTTAGAAATGTTTTGCAAAGGTGTCATGTATTTCAAAGTTAAAGGATCGCCAGGCAGTGTTGAACGGCAGACTTATCCAACTTATCGGGATGCAGTGGCACAGTGGTAGGTGGCGGGTTCGAATCCTAAAAACGTCTCCTAATCGCTCTTTCCCTTTATTAAGGAATTCAGCCCACGTTCCTTGGGTCTGACCATTTGAGAAGCAGGTTCAATGGTGAACAACAATGAATTATGAATTTATATTTTAAACTTTAAAACATTTTTTAGCACGCCAATGCGCCAGTGACTTTCGTACCCCCAATTTTTTATCATACATGTTGCCTTTAGGAAAGAGACAAGTTGTTCTAGATCTGGTGTAGATTTTATGGTAGTGAATACCGTCTTCTGCCAATGTAGTGGACACATGTTGTGCTACTCTCTGCCACTTTTCCAGCCATTTCCTTCAAGGCTTCATACTGGTATTCACTGCGACCCTTCTCTTGAAGCATCGACTATGTACTTGTTCGCCTGCCAGAATGCGAACCCGTGGTACCTCTTCAGACAAAGCTTACCAGAGTAATATAGTATATTTGATAATTAGCGTTAGACTTCTTTTTGAAACGGTCAGATGTGCTTTCCAGTCGAGACGCTAGCTCTTCACCCTGTATGGTAAGGAAGTTAACGATCCTCTGCTATGGTTGCCACATAGCTGCAGTTACTCTCTTCATTGGAGCTTTTTCGCTGATGGTGTCGAAACAGACATCACCACCGGAATATGACCTCTTTGAAACGAGGGTAGTTCAAATCTATCGTTTTGGTAGTGTGTGGGAGACTGACATTCCAGCGATTACAGATTGTTTTTCTTTCAGATATGTTTATAACAGTCGTACACACATTTATAACGTTTAAACTAGCCTCAGATCTGTTTCTTTGATTGTTCCACTTGTTTATTTTTTCTGTCACGATTTCTCGAGATTTTGGACTTCTTCTATACTAGCAATCGTTTAGCTGAAAGACTGTTCTACTTCTTGTTCTTGATCTGTTGTAACAAACTTTGTAAATGTTTTGGTATAAAATCATGGAAGATCACCGCATACTGTTGAGTTTCCTTTCCACAAATTTAACCTCAGCGCACCATCACTTGCCACAGACAGATATTCACTGGTCAGCCTCGTTAGGAAAAATCTGAACACCAGTTTAATTTCACTGGCATTCGAGCATAGTCTTTCGATTGCAAGATTGTCTTTAGTTAGTTGAACTAATCTGAGTTTAACTGATAATTAAATTGAACTGTTTAATAGTTGACCACCAGTGCTATCTTAACTATCCATACATTAAGAAAAAATATACATGGAATCGACGTCTTCTGATAAGAATGTCCACTCCGTAAAATCAGATCCGAAATTTGTCAGTGACGGGTCGGCGATCACCAGTCATGGTGTTCTTTCAAGGTATGTGACTTTTGTTCGATAAAAGCTCATCAGTGAATATTCACCATAGATTGTTTGTTTCAGTTCGTCCACCTTAGTGGATACCAGGTCGCTCATTTCAGGTTCTAGGCCAGCCAACGTGCCGTTGGTGGTATCTGGTCAGGGCTCGAACCCTGCTCTGGCCTCGGTATCAAGTACCATCGCTGTGCTTGGAAGCGAACACATGTCTGCAACCGC